CACACCCTTCCCAGATTTGTCAAAGCCTCTTTATTCTTTTTTATGACTGGCAAACGCTTGGAGCATTTCTTTCTCTGCTTGTGTTGTGTTGTGTGGTGTGAAAACTGCAACAAAAAGAGTTGCAGGTAAACGCCACGTGCTACGTGATTCGTGTAGGTCTGAAGTAGTGGGGGGTGGATCTAGACTTGGGACCATTCCGCAATTTTGACTTACGTACAGGGCCCAATAGCATGGTCCACTTGGCCCTAACTAATCCTGCCATTCCTTGTTTTTCACTTTTCATTTTACTCTCCTGGGAGAGGGATAGAAAATGATGTCACCACAATACCTTTTGCTTGTTGCTTAACATTTTTATTTTATATTTTTGATACAACACATGTCTAACCCATAATTGTTTAATTAGTTTCCTATCTTATAAAGAATCAAGATAGTGAAGTGAGACGCTAGGCATTGTTAATTAGATGGATGAATGCATAGTTTTATTTAACACAAAAGAATTAAGAATGTGACAAATCAATCCATCACCAACATCACTCTGAAGATAAGATCATAAGTGGTTTGATTAAGACATGTACACTAATCTTACGAGGATACAACAGATTACAAAGACCTACCCATTAAGAATATATACAGCATTTTAATTGTTCATGTACATTGAATCAGACTCCTAAATTATATTCTGATATAGTCAATGTCAAAATCTTATCCACTCATGTACGACCGTTCAAACCCTTGATAAATGTAAAAGATACTTGATAGTTAACGTGAATATCAAAAGAAAAATGTGAAAAAGGGTTCTTCACTAAAAGTTTCAACGAGTACTCCTATGAAAACTTGTTCAGGTCGAGTCAAAGGGATTATTTTACGAAAGTTAAACTTGGGCAATGAGGATTGTGTTGGTGATTACCACACAAAAAACCACTACGGACTTTGATAGCCGAATTGGCACCTAGCCTTTCAAGGAAATTGATATTCGCTTCTGAAGAAGTTAAGCCCGGTATCAATTAAAATTTTAAGGGCATATTTCTATAACTTTTTATTAATTACTCATAAAATAAAAACAAACAAGAAGGATAAATAAAATAAAATTTTGTAAAAATTTGATCATGTTAAATTATTCATAATATAATTTTTTAGTTTATGTATAAGTTAATTTTAGCTTATAATAAAATTTATTTATTTTAAAAAAATCTTATAAAAATACTTTTAAAAAAGTTTATTCAAGCAAACTTTAAATGTATAGCATAAGAATTGTGAAAAATGTTGACATATATAAATATAAAATTTATATTTTAGTTAAGAGAATTTAAAAGTACTTTTACTTTTAAAAGCAATATTTTATTTTTCAATTTTGTATATTGAAAATTCTAAGTATGCATTAAAAGTAGTAAAGTTCCTAAAAAAATCCACTTTTAAACAAAGACTCTTAAAAATATTTTTTACAATATAATTATTATAATTTGCACGAAGATAATTGATATGAATACTTAATTAATTGAGATTTTTTTGTGTATTGATAAATGATAAAAGATTTCATATAAGCCTGAATTAGTTTTGAAATTAAATTTGGGACAATTTATTATTTTCCCTTTTACTACAATATGATGTTTTTGTGTTAAATTACTTCAATTATTTAATATGTCAAATGTATATTAATTTTTAATTGTCAACTTTAAAATATTGTGTATATCATATTGTAAAAATAATAAATATTTAAGAGAAAAAAGGTTGTGCATTATCAATGTAAAATAGTTTTATGTGATCATAAAATATCATGTATAACATGTTTTGATTTTTAACAATCATCTTCAAATTCATACCAATTGAAACATTGTGATTTTCTAATTATTGGCTTTGTAGAAATAATTGTGTATCTGGTGTTTTAGGATGTGTTATGAGACTCTAAGAGTTAGGAGTCTAGTTAGTGGGTCTCTGACTAGAGGTTCAGTTAACCATGAGAAAGGAATGTATATAAGGTTTCTATTTAGGACTAAGTTTCATATGTTCATGTCTTTCAGAACCTTAGAGAGAGAGAAAATCTAAAGAGGAACTCTGACTTAAAGCTTTCTTCTTCTCTTTTTCCCTCTAGGTTCCTTTAATGCGTGAGATTCATAGTTGTGGTATGTGTACTTGAAACTTGAGCCAAAAATCAAAGTGGGCTTGGTGTAGAGCTTCCTCAAAGCTCATAGTTCTTCTCTCCCTCTTCCTCACTTCTTTAACTCTATGACTCGAAATCGAGATAAGGAAAGTTATGATTGATTATGAATGAAACAATTGAATTGCATGTTACTAATTCTGATCATGGGTGAATGTACAAATGATTTTTCTTTATTGAATGGTGAAATGGGGGTTTGGTTGTTCTTGGGGTTACTAAAATGAATTGGATGATCTGAATTGAATTTGTCGTTGCATGTTAGGATTATGGTGCACAATGAATTTTGAGAAGGTATAAGTGTGAACTGTTGAGTTGCATGCATTTATTGTAGAATGAGTTTATTAGGTTTGCAATGGGGAAGATGGTTGTTGGATTGTTGTTCTCAAGTTTCGATTATGAAGGTTTATGGGTTTGCTCGCTCAGAGCGTCCATGGGGGTCACTTGAAGTGAGCGAGTGTGACTAGGTCAAGGGTGGTCTTTGACTTGGCTCGCTCAAAATGAATTATGATTGCTTAGAGCGAGTTTTAGTGACTCAAAGCAAGGACTTATTCGCTTAGAGTGAGTGAAGGTGAAAGTTTAGGGGTGGTCCTTGACTTTGATTGCTTAAAGTGAATTATGAGTGCTTTGAGCGAGTTTTGTTGCTTAGAGTGAGGATGATGTTGCTTGAAGTGACCAGATCGAGGCTTCTAGGGGTGACCTCTGTCTGACCTCTCTCGAAGCGAAATTACATTGCTTAGAGTGAGGATTGGGGGCACTTGAATCGCCTAGTCCCTTCTTTGTTTTATAAGATGGATGTTTTATGAAGTTAGAATGGAGGTTAATTTAACACATTATATGTTGATGATACATTGATTTGGGATAATGTACGATGATCAATTTCTATTGAGGACTAAATATTGTTGTATGGTGAACATAAATAGAAATGCTTGAGTATATTGCATGGTTTAGGATTTAGGGTTTAGTATATGGAAGACATTAAGTTAGAAAAGTAGTCATACTAGTATGTTTTTGAAATCTAACTTACCGTTGTGTGTTTTCCATGTGGTATGGATTGCAATAGTCATAATTTTCATGGGAGAGTAGGACAGGGTTAGCTGGAGAGAGCTAGTGGAGTTGTTGGTGGGCCATGTTTTGATTGGCGATGTAGTTGATGACTACTTTTATAGTTGTATAGTTGTGCTTGATCGACATTTTTAAGTTATATAATTTACTTTTCTGGATTACTGTGTATATATGTATACACTTGTTTTATACTTGTATAGTTGATTTATTTTTTATATGCATGTTATATATGTATATTGTTTATTTGTTTGAAGTAAATGTATGACATATAACATGTTAATAGTTCTGCTACTATTTGAGGATTCCACGAACAATAATTTTTAATTAGTACGTAGTGTAACCTTGATCATTAAACTCGATATTTAACCATGTATCACTTATTAAGATGTAAAAAGAAAAAAAATGAATCTTTTAGGGATTATGTCTTATCATGTTTGAGTACTTATTAATAAGTATATAAAAAAATGTGAGGAATTGAGACCACCAGCCTATTATGATCTTGCACTACAAGTAAAATGCAAATTTTCGACGGATTGTTGTCAGTATAGGTAATACAAATTAATTCATTTAAGTCATTCTCAACTATACAATCTCATACTTATACTATCTTTGGATCCCTTTCATTTCGGTATATCCGGACCGTTATAAAAATATAATAATATATATAATAATTATATTACCCATAATAATTATTATATTATATTTAATTATTATTTATTTATAT